GGACCTTGCATGACTGGAAGCTCATCCTGGGGTCCCAGATTTGGGGGCATCAGCCCCCTAGTCAGGAGTAGATAAGACACGAGTGTCTGTAGTGGCAACCTGCCTATAGGAACTTCAACTCTCCCCTCCTTATCCACTCACAGAGGTGCCAGGTCAAGCTGGAAAACCAAAAGGAGGAGGTCTTGGCTCCTGAAGGATTGGCATTCCATCTGCTGGTGTCCAGGAGGAGATGGCCTGGACCCGGAGTCTGCACCACAAGCCCCAAGACCTCCGAAGAGCAGGGGCTGGACATGGTGACTCTCTCAGATACATCTGGACTCAGTTTCTTCCTTGGCCAGTGCAATGGTTAATCTCAATCGTCTACTTGATGAGAACTAGAATAATCTGGGAGAAGACCCTCCAAGAATGCCTCTCAGATGATCTTGATTTAGTTGAGTTGGGAAGACCTACCCACCGTGGGTGGTACCATTCCCTAGGGCGGGATCCCAAACTGCATAAAAAGGAGGAGGTGGGGTGCTGAGGTGGCTTGGTGGGCAAAGGTGCTTGCCTTTAAGCCCAACAACCTGAGGTGACCCCTGGGCCCCACATGGTAGAGGGAGAGAAGTGACTCGGCAAACTGTCCCCTGACCTCCACATGTGTGAAATGCCATGCACATGCAGTCCACATACTTAAATTAAAAAGACGAGAGAGAGAGAGAGAGAGAGAGAGAGAGAGAGAGAGAGAGAGAGAGAGAGAGAGAGAGAGAGAGAGAGAGAGAGAGAATTGAGCTGAGCACAAGTATCCAGTGCTCTTGGCTTGACTTTGGAGCAGTGACCTGCTGCCCAGGGCTCCTCGCCGTGATGGACTGTCCCCTTGAACTGTGACCCCAAACAAACACTTTCTCCCTTAGGTCGTTTCTGTTTGGTGTCCTATCACAGCAACAAAAGTAACTCAGAGGCTCAGTGAGCCCGGGAACCAGATATTCTAGCTGCTTAGCTGTGGCCACTCACTCAGAGGGGCTGTTGGAGGAGACGCATGAATAATCACAGAAGGGTCCGAGTGGCTGGAGTCCTCCACGTTCCCTGTCCACCAAAAACACTGGTGTTTCCCGCTACGACTCACACCCCAAATTCCCCCAGTGATTCTGTGTGAGAAAGTGGCAGCCGGTTTAGGCCAGCCTCCCTCTGACAGGCAGCCTCAGTCCAGCCCCTGACCTGCCTGGGAACAGGATGGGAGACGGGAGCAGCAGGCGGGGGCCCTGGGGATAATCTGGGGCTGCTTTCTCTGCTTGGCTGTGCCTTTCTTGCCCTGAGTGTACTGGAAGCCCCAGGCAGCCTAAATGAGCCATTTGTCCCTGATGGGAAGCGACCTCCGGGACTAATGAGTTCGCTGCTAACACACCCAGCTCCTGCTCTGTCCCTGTTCCCCAGCGTGAGTCACAGCCGGATGACTGCAGACCGAGGGACCTTGCCAGAGGCTTGCCAGCTCTGCCAAGCGGTCTGAGCAGAGAGAGGCCAACACAGAGGGCAGAGAACCAGACCCATAGCCTGGGAACCCACACACCACTGCTGCTGCTCTCTACCTGGGAGTCCTCCATATTGGGGGGATGCTCCTCCAGGCAACCCCTGGCTCCTCAGGACTGAGCAAGGAACAGACAGTTTTACTGGAGTCTCCCACAATAGAGAGCGGAAAGAGTGACCTAACAGGTGACAGACCAATAGGAAACAAGCCAGCCATGGCCTCTGGGGGTCAATTAACACTGTCACACTTTGGGGTCCAAGTCCCTGGGATGTTACCACATCAGACAGAATTCAGAGCTTTGTTAATTAATAGTAAGTACTGTCAGGGCATTGGGTGGGTCACAAGTCACTGTGACTCCAGTTCCAAGGGACTGACACCCCTCTCTGGCTTCTGTGGGCACCCACATCAGGGCACATGCAGAAAGAGAGAGAGAGAGAGAGAGAGAGAGAGAGAGAGAGAGAGAGAGAGAGAGAGAGAGAGATGAATAATCTTTTTAAAAAATAAAATAAGGGGCGGAGATATGGCTTACTGGTTTGGAGCACTGGCTGCTCTTGGAGAGAACCCAGATTCAGTTCTCAGCACACGGCAGTTCACAACAGCCTATAACTCCATTTCCAGAGGAGCTGACACCCTCTTCTAGCCCGAGGGCATTGTACACACATGTGCAAAACATTCATACATGGAAAATCAAAATAGATTTTTTTTTTTTGAGACAGGATTTCTCTGAGTTCCAGACTGTCCTGGAACTCACTCTGTAGACCAGACTAGCCTCAAACTTAGAAATAGGCTTGCCTCTGCCTCCCAAGTGCTGGATTAAAGGCATGCACCACCACTACCGGGCTTAAATCTTTTTTTTTTTTTTTTTTTTTTTTTTTTTAAGTACTGTCCCTGTCCATTCCCCCAAACCCTTCACCCCTACACCTTCCCTCTTCACTTTATGCACCAGACTTCCAAGCTGATGGTGTGAGGACCTTCCTAAAACGCAGGCTGTCTAGCTTGATGCCAGCCCCTCAAGGTCAGGAGCGCAAGGCTGCACAGACCCAAGTGGAACCTTGGGCCCTTGAGGCATCATTTCCCAGGAGGTCAAAATAGGCGCTCCAGCCTGGAGCCACCAGGTGAGGACTCCCACCCACCAGGTGAGCACCCCCCCCCCCAAACACACCCACGGGCTGACCCAATCTAGACAGTCCCTCATTGAGACTGTCTTTTCCAAGTGAGTCTAGACTATGTCAGGTTAACAATTAGAACTACCCACCACATTTAGTCTCTTACTGCACAGGACTCCCAGGCAGGGTCTGACCAGGGGAGGCAAGAAGCCAGGAGTGAAATTGGCCTTGACTTAGGTTCTGCCAGCCAGGTGGGCCACCTCTCTGCTCTGTGGCTTACACCAGGGAGACATTCAGGAGCAGGGCGGGGACCTTCCCGGGCAGGGCCACGTCTATGTTGGGTCGATGCTGGCTGTAGGGACCACAGAGCCTGAGTCCCAGTGGCTTGGCCTGGCCCTAGGCTGCCATCTGAGGCCTGTGAGCACACGGCTGGGCAGGGTGGCACAGCCACAGAACAGGAAGTTAGCCTGGCTTGATGCCGGCCTCAAGGTCATGAGCATAGGGCTGCACACAGACCCAAGTGGAACCTTGGGCCTTTGAGACATCATTTCCCAGGAGGTCAAAATAGGTGCTCTAGCCCGGGGAGCCACCATGTGAGAACCCCTGATACAGGAAAAAAAAAAAAGCTAATGAAATCTGTGAGGGACACAGGATCTCCCCGGCCATCAGCAGGGCCCATGGAGATGGAGGTCTGACCACTTGCTTATCAATAATCTAGAATAGTCATCCAAGAAAAGCTCAGTGTTGTCATACTGAAACCTAAAATGTCAGAGCCTATGGCACCTTCTGCAGAACCATGTCACTTCGATGACACCCACTCGTCATCGTCATCGTCGTCATCCCACCTACCAGCTGAGCCGCAACCACTAGACAGCACAGCGCAGCTGCCACCGGCCCGTTACAAGTCTACTGTCCAGGGTAAGAGGGGCCCCCACACCACATGGCTGTCCCCATCTGCACACAGGAAGGGAGCCTTGGTGCATGCGGCAGACTCTTGTTTACCAACCTTTTCTATAGTTACAGGAGCACTCAGTGCATAGAGCTGGCCAGCTCAACAGGACGTGTCTCAGCCACCCCAACTGCATGGGATGGCCATGCAGCTAGGCCAAGGCCGGCAGAGGAGGACAAGAAAAGTTCAAGTACTGAATTTTCAAGCCACACTCTTAAAATGAGTTCAGTCCTGTCTCCTGTCCTGTCTTCCTTTCTCCCTGGCTGGGATGCAGTCATACCGGGTCCTGAATGCTCTGGGCCACCAAAGGCCTAAACCTGACCAAGGACACAAGAACAAAGCAACTTGTCTTGCTCAAGTATCTGCCATTTTAACTTATCATCATCATCATCATCATCATCATCATCATCGTCAGTAGTAGTATTCACGGTCAGAGGGTCCTCTGACTGATACATTATGGGGCCACCACCCCACCAGGCTGGGAGCTGCTCAAGGACAAGGTGAGGGTCTTGAGCATTGGGCAATGTTGGCACAGGAAACAGCAAAAGAACAGCCATGTGCGTCCAAGGCATGATTTGTCTCTTCAGACTGGAAATATCAGCCTTCGCCTAACACAGAACATAGCCAACCCGAGAGAGTGGCAGGCGACAAACACAAATGTGCCCACAAGCGGCAGGGGACACACAGATCATGAGAGAGACAGGCAAGGTCAGATGGGAGCTTGGCAGGAAGGAGCCAAGCGCTTCAGGGAGGATGCATGCCCCAGCATGGGGGGCGTGCTAAGGCCTGAGCTTGGCATCAGACTCCATCCACGGGGCACTGGGGTCCTTCCACACTGCCACTGACCAACCCAGACACTGAGGCAAGGACACCTAGCTTAAAGAGGTCCATGACAGCACGCTTTTGGATGTGGTCACTTTGGGATCTGAAGCAGACGGTTTGACCCCTCGTTTAACAGGCGTGAGACCTGTTCTGAGCCAGGTAAGATCTGCCAAGGACAGTGGGAGGCCGCAGGGGAGCTGGTGGATGGACGTCAGAGCCAGGATTGAAACCAGATCTAACACTCCTGGCTGCTCTAGCCATGCAGAAGTTGCTCTGGATGGGCATATGGAGTGGGCAGTAGCCGAAAATCCTGAAAATGAGACTTGAAATTTGGCAGAAGTGAACAAGAATGCAAGTAAGTTCAGGGCGCACATCTGTCATCCCCTCTCTCAGGAGGCTGAGGCAGGAGGACTAATGCCAGTCTGAGGCTTCACAGTAAGTTCCAGGGCAGCCTGGGCTACAGAGAGAGACTATGTCGTGGTTTCAATGTGAAATGTCTCCCATAGGTTCATGTGTTCAAACAGCTGGTCCCAGATGGTGGCATCGTTTGGGAAGGCTGTGGACTCTTTAAGGGGTGGAACCTTGCTAGAGGAAGTATGTCATTGGGGGGCGGGCCTTGAAGTTTATAGTTGCCCCTGCTTCCTGTTCTCTCCCTGCTTTCTGTTAGTACAATGTGACCAGCTGGACTCGACGTTCCTGTCACCGTGCCTTCCCAGCAAGGATGAACTGTGTCCCCCTGGAACCGTGAACCAAAATACTAAACCCTTAACTAACACACCCTGACTTTAGGACCCCCAGATGGATGACGGACAGAGGTGCGCAGGGGAATGAACGCAGTCTGGGGCTAGTGCTGAACCTCGGGTCACGGTGATCTCAGCTTTGCCACACTCAGCACAGGGCAGGAAGAGGTAGTGGGGAGCCACTGCAGGTGTGGAACAAGGATAGGTACAAGGAGTGAGCGTGTGTCAGCATGACAGCCCAGCCCAGGGTGCCTCCTCTTTCTTCCCAGGACTCCAAGAATACCTACTCAGGATGGAGACCTTAGCTTCTTCTTCTCCCTGCCTGACCTAAATGACTCTCCAGGCAATGTGAGCCAGCTCACTGTCCTGCCCTGTGCTCAGAGCATGGCATGCATACATGTCAGGAAACATCAGCTCCGTCCTGGATATCCCAGAGAAGGGCACCCAGTTGACTTCGTGGCTATCTGACCAGCCTGTCTGGAAGCCACTGCCCAGGAGCCCAGGAGGCAGGGAGCCATCCTGGCCTGAGCCCTACTTAGAGAACCAGCATGGGGCCAGAATGGTAGGGAGGGCATTTGGGGGACAAGGGGGAGGAAGGAACACCAGGAGTGGGGTGGGGTGACCTATAAACAAGAGATGGCAGAACAGCCCTTTTCTGAGGGCCTGCTGGGCCTCCCAGTCCCCAGAGACTCGCACCTGTCACCTGGTTCAATGGATGCTCTGTTACATGCTGCAAGGCAGCTGCCCCATGGTCCCCCTTCCTCATGGTGGAATACGGGCAGAGGGCACAGGAGCCCCAAGCTCCCTAACGGTAGGTGTCAGCACCAGGTCTGGATCCACACCCCCCAGCTCCCATGGCCACCCCTGCCGGGTCTCTAGAGACGGCAGTGGGCCCAGAGGCTTCACGGTGAGGTGCCCTCTGCTACAAGGAGGCATATCAGAGTCTCACAAGATACCAGGGATGTCTTGTATTAGAGAAATTGGTAAGGTCAAGACAGAACTCTACCAACAAGTTACATCCACAGCCCTATGGAGTTTGGGTATTTTGTTGGGGTTGTTTGTTTGGCTGGTTGGTTTGGATAGTAGATATTTCTTGTGTTGGTTTTCCTCTAGGATGGCAACTCAGGGCTGGACCACAGGGACAGAGCCAAGGATACTTCTCAGCCCTCCTGGGCCTGCTCGGCTTGACGCAGATTCGGATCCCTTCTTGGGGTCTTTGCCTGCAGCTGTGTGGCACAGATGAACACCGCAGCAGCAGTCAGGCGCCAGCCAGTGTTGGCCAGTGTGCCACAGGAGGAGCTCAGCGCCGCCCACCAGGGAGGGACATCTGCACTGATCCTCTGCACGTGGCACTCTGTGCACATGTGGCTGGCAATCACGGACACGGCCTGCCGGGGCATCGGGCGCACAAGCCCACCAGCAGCAGGCTGTTGGTCGTCCCCAGCTGCTCCCCTGATGCTACATGGAGCTAGCATCCAAGAGGGGACAAAGGAGCCTTGTCTTCAGGTCAGACACCCAAAGGGGGACACGGGCCCATAGGATATAGTCAGGCAGATCCGCCGAGGCCATCAGGTGCTCGGAAAGCACGGGTGTTTTCTGGAGCAAAGCATGACCAGTTAGGCAGATGACTGTCTCAGAACCCATCCTGAGGGCTGTGGGTGTAACACAGCTGGGTGAGGGTTTGCCCAGCATACGTGGAACTCGGGGTTCAACCCCAGCACTGGGGGATCATAAACTGTGTGCAATGCTGCACACCTCTAATCCCAGCACCTGGTAGGAGGCAGGGGGATCAGAAGTCCAGTGTCATTCTCAGCTAAGTGGGAGTTCAAGGCCAGCCTGACCTACAAGAGACTAAGAGAGGGAGAGAGAGGAAGAGAGGGAGGAAGAGAGGGGGTAGATAATTAGATAAGGTTTCTTGGTTTTGAGATGACATGGTGCCCCACCTCTGTAACCCCAGCACTTGACGACAGGGTAACTGTTAAGAATTCTAGTCCAGCCTGTGCTACAGAGACCTTATCTGAGAGAGAGAGAGAGAGAAAGAAAGAAAGAAAGAAAGAAAGAAAGAAAG